ACACACACACATACACACACACACACACACAGAGGTAAATCAACAAACACATGAGAAGTAATGTTCTGTTGTTACATAACGTAGTCGACATTTGGACACTGGTCGGTGTCAGTGACTATAACTCCTATCCTCCGTTCTCTTGTTCTATTTTTTTCTGTTATTTTATAGATCCAAACTTGCCATTATCTTACAAGAAAGCCTTCAGCAAACACCAGAATACAAGACTTGCGGACTCTCTAATAATAGCGCGTAGGGGGGTTAGTATAACATCGCAGGTTTTTGAAAACGTTTGTTCTCAGCCTCGTCAAAAATATTAACAACTTTTTTTCAAAATGATGTGTATAGTTGCTTCTTTAAAAAAAATCGTTCTGCTAAATAGACTCCAACGGTTTAAATATGAGGGAAAATATGAAATATAAAGTATATTATTAAACTTTGATAATCTGAGCGAAATAGAATAATCCAACAATGTCATTATAAATACTGCAGATATGAGAACGAATTGACGTCAATATAACAAGAACCCACGGAAACTCGACTGTCCTATGCAATGTAACCACTTGTAAAAACCCTTTTCATGGTGAAAAATATGATACGGTGAGGAATTATAAGAACTGCTCGTGGATCTTGATATAAACCTAAAATCATTCCCGTTTCAAGTTGAGGAACACTGGATAAGAATCACCCCATTATCGCGTTGTTGTCGTTTTTGTTATATTATTATTATCGATAAAACAACAGCTGGGCTCTCTCCCACGTGGTGGTAAGTGAAGGTTTGCTGCAGCTGCTGGTATGTTTCATAGAGTCTATTGTCAACGTTAGGTCTCCGAGGGAGAAGTAACTCTGGTGTCATATAGGGCTGAGCTAGTTTTAATTTTAGTAGAGGTTTTACGGTGCTCGCGACTGCATAAGGTCATATTATGAGCGCCAGAAGATCAGAGGTGTTACAAGAGAGTAACAAACATAAAAGAGAAGGGGAGATAAGGACGATAGAAGTTTGATAGGAAAGACGAAGCAAACCCACAGAATTCTACACTTCTGTGTGTAGAATTCTGTGAGCAAACCACACCAGAGCACCTGCCAACCACCCACAGCTTCTGTGCAATGGAACAAGTATTGATCAACAGTCTCACGTGTAGGCACACAAAGGAAACGTTCGAGGAAGTTTTAGTTTTATTCTGTGTAAGTGGAAGTTGAGCGGAGGATCGTGGCCTGTTCCTTTCTCTGAAAGTAGTTGGTGATGTCATTTTGTTTTGTTATAGTCATAATATTATGTTTGAAAACCGTCATGCCTATCTTTTCCAAGGCCCGTCTGTTTGCTTTGCTGTGTTGGACTGTTCCTGTTTGGATCCCCTTTTAGCAATTGTATCTGAACTGTGGTTTCCAGTTGTGTTTGAGTGGCCGTGAATTCACCGTATCGCCAGGTTAACTATAGGATTCCAGGTCTGGCGGGAGCCCAGATCAATATCATTATATGTGTGTATGTGAGGGAGGAAAGGGGGTGGGTCTTGCTTTACGCTTTGTTTTCTTTTATATCGAAAAAGGGATTAATTTCTCTGCGTTGTTGAGACTTGGATTTTTTTTTCGCTTCTTTTTTTTTTTTTTGGGGGGGGGGGGGGGCGTTCTTGCTATTTCTTTTCGTCTTGTTTCTGGTTTTTATGTCCAGTTCTCATTCACCGGATAACAAAATGTAGCCAAATTCAGCGATGAATAACTTGGGCACAGTTATCATACAGCTTACCATTATCAATCTTTTACACTCTTTTTGAAACAAACTGGACTCTTTCGAAGGGGGACTGCTGTGGCTCTCTGATCCTTGTCAACACAAACACAGCCCGTCTGTGGTGCATTCATAACAGAAAATCTGAGATACTTGACTTTGATCATTTGCGGCCAAGGCGGTATAACTATAGGCCCGACTATTACAGAGAGTTTAATAAAAATAACAATAAGAAATCAAATTTCCCCAATACAAACAAACAAACAAACAAACAAACACACAACTAACTAACTAGCTAGCTAACTAAATAACTAACCAACTAACTAGCTAACTAAGTAACTGACTAACTAACTAACAAAATGAAAATCAAACACAGGGAAGGAACTATAATTCAACATTAACTTATACATGTACTTTTGCTATTATTCCGTGAGAGAATTCTTTGAAACATAATTTCTTTAAACAGATTTATTCTCTTGCAGCAGAAGGATAATTACATATCACAAGCTGCTACTATTTTGATATAAGTCAGGCTTAAAAAAACAAAAAAAAACAACAACAAACAAAAACTGGCAACACAGACGTCCCATTTATGTTGGTGTAACCCCCTCCCCCCCCCCACCCCCACCAAAGAAATACATAACAGCCTAAACTTAAAAACAAAGCATGGCGTGGATAAGAATACGACATGAATTTAAAACGGGATATTTATTTTTCCTCATTATAAAAAACCCCCTCACAATTAATGACTATGGCCTATAGGACCTATACTGTATCCCATTTGTATACATATTGGGCTTGAGCATTAGTAATTGCATTGTATTTAGTGTTTCCCGTTCTCCACTTGAACTTACAGCTTATCTATTACGTCAATCGTTTAGCTATAACAATTTTGGTTGTAGTCAAAATATTGCGAGCCGTGATAACGATAGACCAAAAGAAAAAAACTGACGTAGTATAAATTTTACAAATTCAGCTATCGGAGTAGGCCGTAAATAAATGTAGTCCTCGCTTTTAGTTCACAATGAAATTAGCATGATTATAACACAGCTGTCGTTTGTTCCACATTTCGACAGCGACCCCATTTATTGTTTAGAAGAAACTACACACTATTCAGCGCTCAAAATCTAATCGGATGTAGCATTAAATATTCAAAAGAGCACGACGAGCCAGCTTTTTATGAATTGGAACTAAATGATATTATAAAATTGTAAGTTTCGATTATAATGCATCGTTGTGAAATACTGCAGAATCGAACCAATGCGTCTCAATTCAACTTTTAAAGAAATACTATGAGTGTTCATTTTTTCAGTTCTGGTCCAAAGCTGTACTAATAGCTCTTCATTAAGTGTGTGTCGGTGTCACAGAGTCACAGCACTTTGGGGAGAGGAGGGGGGAAGTGTGGGGTGGGGATGGTCACTCAGGTGTGTCATTGAAAGATGGGGGAAGTGGTTTGGGGACTACTGGGGTGTGTCCTTGAATAGACAGGGAAAAGGCTGGGGGGAGGGGGATCACTGGGATGTATCCTTGATTAACGCACAATAAGGCAAATGCTAAAAAATATGGCGCTGCGCAGTGGCGACCAGCAATGATGTGAATGTATGTTTATGTTACAGTGTA